AAAAAGAGGAAAAAAGAGGGGAAAAAAAAAAGATCTCATTGTATGTTTCAGAAAAAAAGTCCCACATTCTTCCATCTAATTTCACGGCAGGGATGGGACTCAGCGCTTAACACTTCACAGCCAAATTTGTCCCTACATCCATGTAGTAGTAATGATTAAGGATAACGATATCTTCCTACCCTAAAATAGTATAATCATTTTGGACATAATTTTAAGACCTTGTTTTTTATTTCATCCAAAAATTTTCGTCTCCAAGTAATTGTCTTCGTCGATATATCATATATCACTTGTTTCCTTAATCAATGGACTTTGTTTGCACACATTAAAACTCAACAGTAATCGCATAAACTTACCTCAAAAATCGAGATTCTTTTTTATACCTTCATTTTATAGGTTTAAATGGAAAAATGCTCGAATCCACATTTAATACGCTAAAGGTTACATTTTTAAATTTATTTTAAGTTTTTATTAAATAACCTATGTACTAAATATTAAAAGGTTAAAAAAAATTAGCCTTCAACTTTTATGATTTTTTAACTTTAAAAAATAAATCAACTCTTAATATTATGTTTATTAGATTATTGCATATTTGAAAAAATTTTAACTAACTAATCCAATGGATATAAAATTGAAATGTCATTCTCTTACAAGGGTCTCAAACATACGACCTATTGATCATTGAAATGCACTCTTTTATTATTAATGACAAAATTGAAAGTTCGTAGATGCTTTTAAAATTTTTAGAAACCTTAAATAATTTATTAGATACAAAATTAAAAATTCAAAGACCTAAAACATACCATTTTAAAAGTTCAGGTTAAACATGTATTTCAACAAAATTAAAATAACTTTTAATAACTCAAATAAAATGATCAACTTGAACAAATTGATTATATATTCAACCAAAAATTTGAAAGTTCAAATTTGGACCCACATATAACAAATTAGTATACTAAAAAAGATCCAACAAAATAAAATAATTAGAGCAGAAATGTTCAGGAAAAAAAAAGTAAACAATAATTTTTCAAGGGAAAATGGGAAAGACAAAGTCCAATACGATTACGCCACTGTACGGACTAAATATTACTATATTACCTCTATTAGGAAAAAAAGGGCAGTCTTTGACTCAAAAGCTGCGACTCGGTCATTAATCTTAAGAAACCGAGAGTCTGACGTGGCATGTGATGTGAACGCGCCAGAAAGACCAGCGCGAGGCGTGGTGGTGGTAAATAACACGAGCAACGACTCGACCATTGTCGCTGTCGGACGCGTGGACGCCACTCGCCATTTCCCAGGTCAAGTGAACCGCACGCGCGATGGTTGAAAAAAAAGCATAATTTCCCACAATACCCCCATGACTTTTTGCTCCCGGCCGTACGCACACGCTGTCCTTGGACTTATCAACTTTGACTTACATCCTCTAATTTAGACATTTTCCAAATTTTAAAATTATATATCTATATTTTTAAAGTCAACATGTCGTCTTTTGGGAGCCGAGGGGAGCAGTCGTCGTGTCTCCGTTGTCTGATCTTCCCGATAAAACTTTTACCAACGGTTGCAGATTTGATTTCAATTTTAACGGGTGCTGGAATTTCCCATTATTGATTATTCAAATTTCAAACCCCCAATTTTTTTTTCTTTCTAAACTATGGAATTGACATTAAAAACGGAGGAGGAGAAGAAGGAGAAAAAGAACGGGATAAAAATAATGATAACACGAGGAGTTTCGTAGGAGGCCGCCATAACCAAAACCAAAACCAAACCACCGCCAAATCTGGTTAGTTGAAGAAATTGGAAGAAAATTATTTGTTTTTTCAGGGAGATTTTGCACATGTGGCCGTAACGGCGGGCGGCGGCACCGGCCTCGTAACCGCAAACAGCTATCTAGATGCCTTTCTTTCACAAAAGCCATTCGAATTCTCGGCT